GGGTTCAAGCAATTCTTCTGCCTCAGCCTCCCAAGTAGTTGGGACTACAGGTGTGCGCCACCGTGCCCAGCTGATTTTCGTATTTTTAGTAGAGACAAGGTTTCACCATATTGGCCAGGATGGTCTCAATCTCTTGACCTCATGATCCGCCCACCTTGGCCTCCCAAAGTGCTGGGATTACAGGCATGAGCCACTGTGCCAGGTCTTTATATAGTTTTGAGACAGAGTCTTGCTTTGTCACCCAGGAGTGCAGTGGCATGATCATAGGTCACTTGTTACCTTGAACCCCTGGGCTCAAGCAATCCTCCCACCTCAGCCTCCCAAAATGCCACTGTGCCCAGTCTCAAGTAATTTTTGAAAGCTCCTTGGGTAATTCTAAAGTGCAGCTAGGGTTGAGAACTCTAGAACCTACCATGTACTGGACATTATGTTGGCACTTTCATTATTTCAGCTAATCCTGGCGACAATATCATGAAGAAGACAATATCGGGAAGTTTAAGTTGTAATCCCTAAATCCCAGAGCAAGTAAGAGACAGAGTTGAATCAAGGTCAGTCAGACCCAAAAGTCCAAGCTGGTGGCAGCTGAGTCTGCAGCTGTGGGCAGAGTATGGAGTCTGCTTTATGAGGCCATCTTTGATTAGAGACAACATTGTCTGGGGTGGAGAAGGGCTCAGTGCTGAGACTGACCTATCTGTTCCTTGCACTGAGAACACTCTGGTTTCTTAGGCCCTCCTCACTAAGAGGGAACAGAAGAAGGCTTCCCAGGACAGGCTTCGAACAGAAAGAGCGGAGATGAGGCGGCTGGAGGTGGAGAGGAAGAGAAGGGAGCAGGAAGAGCAGAGGCAGCTCCAGCAGGAGCAGCTGGAGAGGGCAAAAAAGATGGAGGAGGAGCTGGAGCTGGAGCAGCAGAGACGCGCAGAAGAGATGCGGTAGGTCGGGCAAGCCAAAGAGACTACAGCCATGTTCAGAAGCAGAAGAAAAGAAGGCAGTGGTTGACCTCCCCTAGAGACAATGTTTGGTTCTGAGGCTCATGCCCCAAAGTAAAACAGCATGCGTTATTTTTCTCTGTCCTCAGTTTTCCTAGGAACAACACCAACCAGAGAAAAGCTGCAGCATCTCAGCCAAGGGCATGGGTATATTCTGCTGAATGTCACTCACATTCAGGTTTACAACCCCACGTGAGGGTTACTCACATTGATGGTCATCAGATCTTCTTGGGAAGGCCCTGAGATTCAGTCCAGCAAACATTTGCCAGGCCCCTGCGCTTTGCTGTCTGCACTGTGCTAGCCCCTTTCACAGGCCTCAACTGCAATTTAATCTTCACAACAACCCTGTGAGGCAGGAGTTTTGAAATACTTAAGAATGAAAAATGAACTTTTGTGCCAGGGTACAGAGCTGTGTACTGAAACTCTGGTTTCTAGCCCACTGGGCTCTTGTCTCTGCTCTTCAATCCTGGCTTCCCTTGGAAAACTGAGTCTCCTGGGAATGGGATGCTCCCCGTTGCCAGTGGGCTCAGAGCCTCCCCCATGGGCACTGTCTGTTGGCTCGTCTCACAAGGATGCCTCAGTGTTTTCTGCCATTCCCTGCCCATCTTGTGTTTTCTCAGCTTGAGGAAACAGAGACTCCAAGAAGAACAGCAGCGGCAGGAGGAGGAGGAGAGAAAGCAGCAGCTCCGGTTGAAAGCAGCCCAGGAGAGAGCTCGGCAACAGCAAGAGGAGTTTCGGAGGAAACTACGAGAACTACAGAGAGAAAAGCAGCAGAAGGAAGCTGAGAGGGCCGGTGAGGGGGTTCTTGAGCTCTTTGCATCTCTCTTCTATTTGGGGCAGAAACATTTTTATCCAACTATGAGTGTTCATTTATTCCTATCCTAGGCCTTAGTGTGTTAAGCACTCGAAATATATAAACATTTTTTTCAAAATGATTATGTATGACTATAGTGTGTTAATATAGATCTAAATAAGAAAGTAATGACTTGCTTTTGGAAGTGACTCCAGAGGCCTTCTCTCAATCCAACAACCTCCTTAACTGGGACCTTGCCCTTCCCTTTGCCCTTTCAGCATTGCTCAGGAGCTACCTAAATTGGAGACACAGCCTTACTCCTTTCTTCCTTCCCTAGCAAACGGAAACAGTCACAAGCAGCTGACAGTTTCAGGACACCTTCAGGTGCTGATGTGTGGAATCTCACCAGCCTCTTTTTTAAAATTATTACTTATTTTTAATTGACATAGAATAATTGTACATATTTACGGAGTACAATGTAATATTTGACACATATACAATGTGTAATTATCAAATCAGGGTAATGAGCATATCCATCACCTCAAACATTCATCATTTGTGTTGGGAACATTCAAAATCCACTTTTTTTTTTCTTCAAAATCCACTCTTCTAGCCAAGTGTCGTAACTCATGCTTGTAATCTCAGAATTTTGGGAGGGTGAGGCAGGTGGATCACCTGAGGTCAGGAGTTCGAGACCAGCCTGGCCAACATGACAAAACCCTTTCTCTACTAAAAGTACAAAAACTAGCTGGGTGTAGTGGCATGTGCCGGTAGTCCCAGCTACTCAGGAGGCTGAGGCAGGAGAATTGCTTGAACCCAGGAGGCGGAGGTTGCAGTGAGCCAAGATAGCATAATTGCACTTCAGCCTGGGCAACAAGAGCAAGACTCTGTCTCAAAAAAAAGAAAAAATCTACTCTTCTAGCTATTTGGAAATAGAGGTTGTTGTTACAGTCACCTACAGTGCTATAGAACACTAGAACTTATTCCTTCTATCTAGGTGTACTTTAGTACTTTAACCAACCTCTCCCTAACCCCCCAACAACTCCCTACCCTTCCCTTCCTCTAGTACCCACTGTTCTATTCTCTACCTCCATGAGATCAATGTTTTTAGCTTTCACATGACTAAAAACATTTTATTTATTTTTCTATGCCGAGCTTATTTCACTTAATGTAAGTCCTCTCAGGATCATTCACGTTGTCATAAAAGAATTTTTTCTTTTTATGGCTAAGTAGGATTCCATTATGTATATATACCACATTTTCTTTATCCGTTCATCTATCGATGGACATATATATTGATTCTATATCTTGGCTATTGTGAAGAGTGCAGCAATAAACATACACACTTACAAGTGCAAGTATCTCTCAATATTTTGATCTCCTTTCCTTTGGACATATACTAGCAGTGGGAACCACACCTTTGAGGAAGAGATAAGAACTTTAGCAGACCACACTGTGGCCACTTCCTGATTCTGGCTGTAGACTCAGTGCAGCTGAGGAAGCACCAAGTTTCTCTAGACCCTGATCTGACACCGCTCCCCAACCCAGCTTCATACCACCACATAAACACACCGGGCTCTGGAAAAATTCTTCCCCAAGGCTTTGTATTAACTGCATAGTGTACTATACATAGTAGGTGCTTAATAAAAAAAACTTTTTTTTTTTTTGAGACGGAGTTTCCCTCTTGTTGCCCAGGCTAGAGCGCAATGATGCAATCTCAGCTTATCAAAACCTCTTCCTCCTGGGTTCAAGCAATTCTCCTGCCTCAGCCTCCCAAGTAGCTGGTATTATAGGCATGCGCCACCACACCCGGCTAATTTTGCATTTTTAGTAGAGATGGGGTTTCTCCATGTTGGTCAGGCTGGTCTCAAACTCCTGACCTCAGGTGATCTACCCACCTTGGCCTCCCAAAGTGCTGGGATTACAGGCATGAGCCACCGTGCCTGGTCAGGACTCTTAAATTAGTAAATTAATCCCCAAGGTACTCCCGAGAGAGGATCTGGCAGCCAGCTAGCTGGTTAAACTGCAAAATTTCTCACAGGGAGTCCCTCAGAATCACAGATTTGAGAGTTGGATCAGAAAATTGTCTTCCCCAATAATGATCCCTGCTGAGCCCACCCTCTTTTCTATTCTCCAGAGGCAGAGAAGCAAAGGCAAAAGGAATTGGAAATGCAGTTAGCAGAGGAACAAAAACGCCTGATGGAAATGGCTGAAGAGGAACGATTGGAGTACCAGCAGCGGAAACAGGAAGCGGAAGAGAAGGCTCAGCTGGAGGCAGAGGAGAGGAGGCAAAAGGAAGAGGAAGCAGCAAGACTGGCTCTGGAAGAAGCCACAAAACAAGCCCAGGAACAGGCCAGGTACTGGACATTTGGGCAACAGTTGCCATTGGGGGGTTGTTCAAGGGCTTCACTGTCCAGCGCTAATGCTAGCCTTGCGCTGCCTTTGGACAAGAAAAGTTCCCCCACCCTAAGCATGGTTTGGAAGACAGAAAGGCATAGAGGGATTCTTTTGATATCAAGGATTCCTCCATGGCTTAAAGAAGTTATACTGAAGCTACAAGGGAGTTGAGAGAGATCCACCTCTATCATCTAGTTTATAGATGAAAAAGGCATGTCCCAAAGAGGAAAAGGATCTTGATCACGAACAAACAGTGACTTAGGAACAATGCCAAGACCAGATCTAAGACCCCCTAATTCCATACCCATTGCCTTCCTTGGTATCTACTGAATGCCTGTTATGTGCCAAACACTGTTACAGACAGTAGGAATTCAGGAGTATCAAAGATGGAGAAGATGGCTCCTCCCATCGCATTTACATTCTAGGGTCAGGGGTGGGGACAAACTCTAAACAAAGACTTTTTTTTTTTTTTTTTTTTAAGACAGAGACTCATTCTGTAGCCCAGACTGGAGTGTAATGGCGCAGTCTCAGCTCACTGCAATGTCCACCTCCCAGGTCCTGGTTCAAGCTATTCTCCTGCCTCAGCCTCCCGAGTGGTTGGGATTATAGGCATGTGCTGAGATGTCCAGCTAATTTTTGTATTTTTGGTAGAGACGAGGTTTCACCAT